CAAACCACTCTGTGATTCTAGGAATCTCTGCTGAAGCCTACAGAGCTTTGCAACAAAGCAGACAACAACAGAACACGACTCTTTTCAGACGCCTTGTCTTTGATAGTACAAACAGAATGGCAAAATGAGAACAAGAAAGCATGAAATTATGCAATTTCATTGGTATAAATATGAAGACATACATCAGGGTATTTTTATACACACAGGTAAATGTGGGTTTCCAAATTCACTTCCTTTCAAAAATACTTTTAAAACACAAAGATTTAACAAAACTTATGCTGAATGCAAAAAGAAGCTGAAAGAAGCCTCATATAGGAGGCTATAAAACTACAACAACCGAGACTTCATGAGACAGGGGACATCCTCACTTGTGAACAGTATTAAAACACCAACTTTATTCAGGAATACGGAATACATTTCTGAAGGTTTCCAGTTTACAAAAGTTTAAGACAAGGTTGGGGGCTGTGTTTCAACGAGTCCATTTCAAGTTGACAAAACCCCTCAAAAATCAGAAAGAAAAAGAAAAATTAAAAAAAAGGACAAAGAAGGCCACGGCCCTGTTCTGGGATACATTCAGGCAGAATCCAGCACAGTGCTGACGTTCTTTCTGCACTCCGTGTTGTAGTCCACAAGTGCAATAGAGCCTTGTGTTAATGAAAAACACGTCACACCTAGTATGAACTGCAAGAAGAGCACTTGTCTTACTATTTTAGTTCCAGGCATTATATGCAAAGCAGCTTCCAAAGAGCCACAGTTAAGAACAGTACTTGCCATCCAGTCACCACATTGCAAATACAGCATTAAATTCTTCATTTATACAATTTTAAGTGTTCATTAAAAATGAAATTAAGAATCAATGTCCCACTATCCTTTTCATCATTAATAGTTTTTCTTATCTACTAAAAACATTTGTCTTTCCTAAGATGTCTAAAAAGTAAAGCACAAAAGATTAACAAGCTGCAGCATTAATTAAAATGAGAGCCATCATCTCTTTCCCCCTAGCTTCTAAATCGATCACAAGGGCCGGATTAGCTGTATCAAAGTGAAGTGGTGTAAATAAAACCTATTTGACTTGAAAGGAGAGAAAGAATAAATGCAGAGTTATGCAAGAATCGCAATGCAGTCAGTGTTGTCAGGTATATCGCTGTAGACAAGAGCTGAGAAAACTATTCACAGGGTCTCTTTTAAAAGCATTACTGCCAGTTTGCCATTAGCACAATACCAGAAAGGTAAATGGTAATTTGCCTTACAAGGAACTTTAGACTGTTACCAAGTGGATTCACTACTAAGGGCCTACTTTTAAATGCACAGCACTCTGACTTCAGCAGAGGTTACAGACACTCACAACTCCTGACATTTATCTATTTTATATAACCCAAATCTTACTGGTTTATTACACCTCCTTGGCAGTGTTCAAGGCCAGGTTGGATGGGGCTTGCAGCAGCCTGGTCTAGTGGAAGGTGTCCCTGCCCATGGATGAGCCTTAAGGTCCCTTCCAACCAAACCAGCCTGGGATTCAATTTGGTTTTTTTCTGGAATCAGTTATATTAATACCTGTGCTGAAGAGAGTTCCTCAATGCAGTGGTTACCACTCAATACAGATGTGGAAAGAGAATTTGTATCTGGAAGAAAACTTTAATCAGTTTCACTTTTGTAAGAATAGGTCTTTGAAATAACATCCATTTATTTCAATATTATATATAAAGGAAAGCTCCTGGAGGACTGACCTCCAATTAAATGGCTAAGAGGAACTGCGAACAGTATTACCAGCTACTGGAAAGAAATTCTACCACATGGTATTTCATGAACATTTAACTTCAGCTTTACAAGCTGTGGATTTTCAATGAAATATTTCATTTCACCAGTACGGTTGTTGCTATCACACTTTCCCAAAGATGCCACTGAATAATGCAGTATAACGCTGTATTAACAGTACTAGAAGTGACATGTTATAAACAATTTCTGTGTGATACTACAGCAATTTCAGAAGAAATCAGCCAGCAAATCTGTTCTACAAACCAGCGAACGGGAGAAAGATGAAAACCCTCCTTAGAAGTTTTAGCCTGCCTTTTAGGAACAAGATACTGAACCTCTGTGCTCCTCAAAGTTCAGTGGTCCCCTTAAGTAATAACAGAGGAAGACACAACTTACTTCTCTTTTTGGGTCTCTAGACGATGATATGTAACAACAACCAGAAATGTGGTTAACAGCCTCCTACATCAACATTCAATCAGAAAGGCACAATCTCCTTTTATAACTTGTGTTCTCAAAAGCTATACAAAGATACATATACCCTTAACTGGAAGGGAAAACATCACACCATTTAGAATGTTTTTTCCTTCTTTTTTTGCAAGGTCCAAATGGATTATCTTAATGCAAAAGTTACGTGAATATATACAACCTGAAAGAGTATTATTTTTATATATATGTATCTATATATATATATGTATGTACAAATATAACAGTGCCTGACACAGCAGGCAGAAGAAGCAGGCTATGTCCTCTCTTTTCCTACTTCTTAGCAAAGCAAGGCAATGTCTTTCAGAACCCATAGGCAAACAATATTTGGTTTTCACACACCCTGGTGTCTTAGAATGCACACAGTGAAATGCAGTCCCCCATAGAAGGCTTGCATGAGGGGTATGTGCTGTGTAAATTACACAGGACACAACGATTTAGTTTCACTAATACAGCCTGAGGTAACGTTAAAGTTAAAAAGGTGGTTAATTCCAAGGAAGCTACTCCAAACTCTTCAACAGTATGTTTTACGGCCCAATATAGTGTTCTTAAAACTGCAACAGAAAAACGTGAAGGCTAATTCTGATACAGCACTATGCAGCTCTCTTACAGAACTTTAACAAAAAGCAAGAGGGGAGAGCAGGGCCCACTGCTCACAGAAGACACCCCTCCACCCACCTTTACAATTAACTCGGCTCTGTACCCGAGTCTAACGTACCTGGGAAATAAAGAATAACTGCTATGTGACAATGATAACAGTCAGCCTATTGAGTCGGAGTCATTAATTAGGCGAGTCCTGCTCTGTGAAGGGCAGTGTAATTACTTTGCTTGAGCTCCCAGCAAGGATGGAGCGAGCTCCCAGCAAGCCTGTAATGAAAGGCTGCCATTAACCTGCTTCCAAAGTCAGTGAAGCCCATCAGCATTAGAATTCTGCAGCACTTCCCACCATGTCATCTCAGTCCTGGTATGACCTATGCTTGTAAATCTGCCTGGCCCCTGCCTCTTCCATACCATGGCAGTAGACTCCAGAACTGGAAATGATAAAAAACCCACAACTCCACAGAAAATAAATGCAGGAGTATGTGTGGCAACTGAGACCAAACTCGAGCCGTTCCCTCACTTACACTCAAGCTCAAAAATCCTTTTGTTCTGAGCATATAACCTCTGGGCAAAAGAAGTTACCTTCGAAAGATGGGGAGGAAGAAAGTAGGAGGTGCGGGCAGTCAAGTTTCTTTCATTTCCAATAAACCACAAAGTCTGTATAAAGACACTGTTCATTACATTGAAGGAGAAGTAGGAAATGTGTCCAATATATAAATATAAATAACTTTTCAAGGCCAATTTTCCTCTAGACAAGAGGAAGACGCTGCATTGTTTTCTGTACATTAAGCATAGTTTTCTGTACACACCACTGCAGTGACATTTAAATGCACAGCTTACCTTCCCTCTTGCCACCTTTACCTCTTAGGTGCTTTCACCAGGTAATTCAACACTGCGCACTAAAACACACTTCACAGGAGACCATTCCAAGAGTTAGGACAAAACAGGCACAAATAATCCTGGTTTTCAACCAAATGAACATGAATAATAGTGAAATGTTGACATTTTAGAGTTCCAGTGGTGCAGTAGAACCAAACCTGTGTAGGACACACTACTTACACACATACATGTAGTATTAAACATGTGTATACATGCTGCAGACAGGGCTGACAAGCCCAACACCACATGACCTGCTTTCAGGTATCTTACAAATATAACCCATTAGTCATTCACATTAAAGCTTTCCATAATGAGTTCTTGCCTCAGGCTGGTTTTGGTATTCAAGATTAAACTACAAGAGCTTGGGGGGGATGGGGGTGCTGGTTAGCTTTTTTGAGGGGTTTATTTGGTTGTGGGGGAGTTTTTTGGTTGGTTAGTTTTGTTTGGGTTGTTTGTTGGTCTTGTTTCTTTTTTTAAGAAGGAACACGTGGTGTAATGTTGCTTTTTTCACCCTTGAAAAGAAGTCCTGCACTGCTTTTTTGAGAAGCTTCAGTGCCACTGTACTCAGCCTTGAAGTCTGACAGATAAGCCAACCTTTGTGGTGTTCCTAAGAAAACCCATGCAAATTCAGCCTAGACATAAGCATCTTGGGAAAAAACCCAACTTGCTCATTTAGAGATCTGCTGTATCCTCATGAGCTGAAACTCTGAAACTAACATTCACAGTAAGAATGTTCCAGGTCATGAAGAGAAGGGTCAAGTAGGACATTTTCTGCAATTCGAGCACTGCTAGCGGGCTAGCATTGGACACCAGACCTCCAGACTGCATCTCATGTGCTTCAAGGACCACCAGTTGGCACCAGGCAGTAAGAAGAAACAGCTCACATGTCGATAGGATGGGAGGCAGTCTGAAAACAAGAGTCCTTCTGGCAAAGTTTGTGTGTGCAACATCTCTATTATACAAGCACATATATACATTCATACACAACATATAGACCAAGAAAGACATCACATCAGTTGACATAGACCTGACGTTTCTCTTACTAGTCTGATCCAAAACTTGCTTGCTGAAATATTATGGAAAGCTGATGTGACTCTAGGTTTAGCTCTTGCAGCCCTGTCTGATGAGCCCAAAATGCTAAATTCAAACATTAACTTAGTGTGGATTCAAATCAAGTCATCATTCAGGCACATGTTCCCCTGAAACCTATTAGCCACAGCAGATTAATCCATATGGACTTGAAAAAGTAAATGCCTTTCTGCCCATCACAAATACTGGAGCAGTTACACTTCTCTTTCAGCAGTGTGGTTGACCAGAGAATCATTTTGATCTGCTGTCCTCTCAAGAAGAGTTCTGTGGCCATCCATAGTGCCATGGATGTCTCTTGTCCAACTGCCAGCTGTTCCCAGAGGGCTTCCTGCCATGGGGGTGTCTGTGCTTGCCAAGCTTCCTGTCCGAGATCGGTAAGGAGGAAGATCTGGCAGATTAGGGGATTCAGATTCAGAACAATAAGGCGGTGGAGGAAGGTCAAACCAAGGTGGTCTGCTGCAAGATACACAATGCAGTAAGAGGTTACTGAAAACAGTGGTATGGAAGGTGGTACATAGCTTTTCAATTATGAAGAAAACAAACTGTATTGCTTAGCTTTTTCATGATGACTTTCACCAGGAAGCCTCCAACAGACCTGCCTACGTCATGCATGTCATTCCAAAACATTCACACCACCGCGGGGCACCAAGGTTTCTGGCCAAGATGCAACACAGCTAACTACATTCTGCCTAACGCTCCACACTCCAATTTTCATAGCTATGCACTTCCAACAAAGCTCAGCTTACCCTCAAAGACTGCTGCAAGAAGCAAGAATGTTCCCTATATAACATTTACAAAACCTGAGAAAGCACTTCTAAAGAAATAAGGCAAGTAGTGAATTTACACCTATAACGATGTGAACACAAGAAAGCTCTGAGGAAACCTCCATTAAGCAACAGAGATTAACGGCTTATGGCCTACAAATAAAAAATGAGCTGAACTCTCCACATGACTAATCACTTTGGCTGTCATGATTATCACAGGCAGAGCAACTGCTAAGTAGGCATAGGCAGAATGAGTACTGGATTCAGGAAAACTAGGTTTTTTGGTTCTGATAGGAAACAAGTGAAGGGTCTAAAGGGTTTAGTAGATTGATAACATGCAAGAGAGCAATTAGGTATTAAACTGCTGATCTGCATCAGCCCAGGTGAGGAGTGATTACAATCTGTACTGTTGCTCATTTAGTTATTCTTCCTTATGAAAAGATAGCATTATTATATCAACATTAAGACATGGGAGCTGCTGCCAAATGCAGAGAGTAAGATCATACTATCATTTTTAGATCCCAGAGTTCATACTAAAAAATACCAACAGGGTGAGAGTGAACAATCTGGATCATTAAAGTTCATCCCATGCCCTTTTTATATACAGAGGATGTCAGTCTAGGAGTTTTGTTTGGAAAGACTCTACAGACAGAGGTTAAAAGAAAGGTTAATTCTACAAATAAAACTAGTGTCAAACTGCAAAAACATCATAACCCAAATGGCAGCCACCCACAAAAGCTCAAAGCACTTCCAGCTATTTAAAATGAGAACAGTGCTTTTCAGTTCAGAGTCCTGTCCTTTTCTTCTATTGATAAAGTAGTGAAGAGCAGATGGACTTCACAATTTCTTTATGCAAGAACTGAAGACCTCTCACCTTTATATACTTATCACATATGACTAGAATAATTTTTTTGTAAAGATACTGTGACCTACCACTTAGCTGGATTTTTTGGCAAAACTCCAAAGCCAATTTGCATGTTTGGATTCCAGACTGGCACAGGACACTACTAGACAAGTGATACATTCCTTTGCATTCTCCTGTCATCCTCAAAATCTTTACTACCAATAACACCTACTTAACTTAAGTTTGACTTAAATCCCTTTAATAACAGTAAGGGGACCTGAGGACCAGGTATTTTTCATATTCAGGAGCAGCTCAAATTTGCCCAGACCTGGCCCTATGCATGTGATGGAAATGCAACGCTGAAATTCTGTCAAAAGCAGTAATAAGGATGAACTATTGAATCACAGAACGGTTTGAGTCAGAAGTTTCAGCTCCCCTGCCCCGGGCAGGGACACCTTCCAGGTTGCTCCAAGCCTCATCCAGCCTGGCCTTGAACACTGCCAGGGATGGGGCAGCCACAGCTTCTCTGGGCACCCTGTGCCAGGGCCTCAGCACCCTCACAGAGAAGAGCTTCTTCCTGATATCTCATCTAAATCATAGAATCATAGAATATGCAGGGTTGGAAAGGACCTTAAGATCATCTAGTTCCAACCCTCCTGCCATAGGCAGGGATGCCTCACACTAGACCATGCTGCCCAAGGCTCTGTCCAACCTGGTCTTGAACACTGCCAGGGATGGAGCATTTATCACTTCCTTGGCTAACCTGTGGCAGGGTCTCACCACACTCACAGTATCCCCTCTGTCAGTTTAAATCCATTCCCCCTTGTCCTATCACTACGTGCCTTTGTCAAAAGCCCCTCTCCAGATTTCTTGTCACCCCTTTAGGCACTGGAAGCTGCTCTAGGGTCTACCCGGAGCCTTTCCTTGTCCAGGCTGAACAAGCCATCTCTTTCAGCTATCTCCATTGCAGAGGTGCTCCAGGCCTCCGACTCTTCTGGACTCGCTCCAACAACTCCACATCCTTCTTGTGTTGCTGCCCCCAGAGCTGGACACAGGACCGCAGGGTGGTTCTCACCAGACTGGGGTAGAGGGGTAGAATCCCCTCCCTCAACCTGCGGGTCATGCTCCTGGTGATGCATGCAGCCCAGGACACAGTTGCTTTGTGGGCTGCAAGTGCACACTGCCGGGTCCTG